AAGTATTTGAGCTTTATTACCAGATAGACATATATAAAATGAGCTCAAACTAATATGTTCCCGACACATATTAATATTAGCCTTGACACGGCTGAGAAGTTACAAACGATAACTCTCACTTACCATCGAAGTACGAAATTTTCGCTTCTTTTCTTGGAGGAGCCTCATCATCTAAATGATAGATCATGACGGGAACAAAAATCAACATGACGCAAAATCTACTAAGCTGTTACGAAAATATCAAGGGATCGATTTTCTCACCATATACTTCAACACTCATTAACAATCATGTTTCACAAAAGTATTATTATATTGAAACAGAAGTCTTACGTAGTTTCTGTAGTGACTCACAGGTAGATATGACTAATCCAGAGGTTAATTTGGTTCTTGCAGGATGAGAAAAGTGAACAATGACTCATGCCGATCTGAACGATTTAGACTGGCACTAGTACCGGTAAGAAAAAACCAGAGCTGTTGTAACACTGCCCCATACTTAAAGCGATTCAGTGTGATATCGACCGCAAGCCACATCCATACTCGAATGGATAAAGATAGTCGTGCCGCCACGCACACTGGCGACATTCTTCGCATCAACATTCACAGGTCATCCCAACACCCATGCCAAAGATACACACTGTATCCTCATCTTCCAACAATCTAATTGAGCGAGAGCTACACGGAGTCTGAATTTCCGACACGAAAAAAACCTCGTTTCAACTCGCTACTGCAAACCTTCATAAATATACGTCTGTACATGATAATACACACTATCAAAGAAACATATAGAATCAAGTATACAAACTCATTTTATTTTGTATGATCATGCCTTTAGTTAATGGAATATAGACTATGATTCGCGAAATTGTAGTTAGGTTGTAGTTAAACTAATAATCACAAAGAACTTCTTTTCAGAAATGGAGAGAACGTGAGTGACATCCAATCGATACATGGTATGGTATTGAAATATTGTCTCAAAAAGATACTTCATTACACAATGAGGCTTAAATGGTATCAAGAATATCATAAGAAGACTTCCTTGCTTGTTAATACACTAAAAAACTCAGAGTAAAGTTTGCATTTCTCTATTTTTTTTAATCTTGTCTTACATAGCGTGTTTTTTATCAAAATATATTGTTTTTAATAATAGAAATCTCTCTGAATAGAAATTATACAACCGTAAAACTACTCCAGTCACACTATTTCTTGTAAAAACATCTTTTATTTCATTATTTTATTTTTATCTTTTAAACATGAATGATTCATTAATCTTGATTATGTAAATGATAATTTTTCTTTTCATTCCTTTATCTTTAGTTTATAAATGATAATTTGTTTTGCATTCATTTATCTTTATTTTTTAAGGATAAATAATTCATTTATCGTGATCCTTTATTATAAAGCACAGTAAAGATAATGGATCGTCCCTAATTGTAGTCGAAAAAGTCATATTCTGTAAACTCCTTCCCGTAATATACCGTAATGAAGGTATTCGTAGGCGAGTACTCAAAAAGTACTCACGTGTTTTAAGCACTCATCAGTCGTACCCGTGCTAGAATCTAAGTATTTGAGTACGACGATCGAATACTTGCGGTGTAATATTGAGTGTTTTCTGAGTACTCCTATCTAGTTTCTGTGTACTCTGTTGGTCTATGTAAAATACTCACAAGCATATTTTTTGGTTAGTACCGTTGTACTACACCAATTTTTATTTAATATTGAAATATTAAAAAAATACAGACACACACAGGGAAAATTCGAGTAAAGCGATTAAAATGAGAACAACAAGTTTGACCTCAGTTTCGTATATTTTAACACAAAGACTGCAAAAATAGAAATCTTCATCATCAGCGAAGAAAATTAAATATTTTTTTTTAATTTTTCTACAATAAAGATACAATTTTATGTATTCGTTTCGTTTTTCTTTCAAAAAATAAAATCATATTATCATTATATAAAAATAAAGAAAATAGTTAACTTTTTTTTTTTAATAATGAAGATTTATTATCTATATCTTAGAGTGAGAGTACAATAAAACACGAATTAAGGATAGTAAAATATAGTGAAGGAGAAAAAATAATGAATTAATCAGTGATAATGCGAAATATGATAATAAATAAACGTACAATATTGCTTATTGCACAAAAAAATTAACAGAGGCATTTTTAAATTCTTAACTATCTATATTCATCTGAAAATTTACACAAAAATAAATACAAAATAAAACTATTTGTCTATAGTTAATTCACTCATCTTCGTATTTTAAAATTGCAATCGATTTGTACCAAAATTAGTTAAATGTAATTCGTTTCATAACATTTTACGGTCAATCTGAAAAATTGTATTTTAAAGGAAGATTTTTTATCTTAATTTAGGAAATAAAATGAAAGCGAGTCTACATTAATATTTTCAAAAAAATTTAATCTTAATGGAAATGTTAACAAATGAATTAGAAAAATCGTTTTTCTTTTCTCCCCAAGTCAATCATGGTCGGCCGTACATTAACCAATCACGACGGACAACAGCAACTGTTTGCGGTAGCCGTTTACAGCCGTAGTAAACGATACTTTACGACATATTACGACTGCTGTAAACCACTAGCGTAACAATACGACGACTGTATACTTTGTTCGACAAACACCGTTAAACATCGTATACGTCAGGTGTTCGCGGTAGCCGTTTACAACAGTTGTAAATAACGGTTTACGGCGTATTATGGTCATTGTTTACAATGATCATAAAATGTCTCAGATCGAACAAGCACGGTCATAAACGATCGTATGCGGAGAAATACGACCAAATACACGGCTCGGTATTACGATCATAAATCTCCGTATTGTATACGGAGAAAAATACGGTTGTTTACGATTTTCGTATACGCAGTCCGTATACGGTGACGACCATATATGATCGTAATATTGAGCCATGTATTACGGTAAAATATGACTGTAAACGATCTTGTTGAGGTCGTATACGAAGTCTGTAATCGTCGATCTGGGCAACGGGGAACATACAATAATCTTTGTCGACTTCTCTAAATATCGTTTCAGTACCCTCAATGATAAAATCGATCCAAATACGTTGGCATCAGTAGTAAAAAATCGGAGTAATGCTAGGGATCCAAAATAGCTTCGACTATTTTACGCTTGTGACAAAAATTGATTAGCTTTTATGAATTAACACCAATCAAATCAACGAACTATTTTGTATAAGACAACGATACGAAAATTTTATAAAACATAACTTGGTGGGTGGTTTTAGTTTAAAAAAAACAAGAATTTTATAGCTTGAAATCAGATTATTACAAGAGCGAAGAATTACTCATTTTACATGCTAATAATCAATATATGAATTAGACTAATAAAAGCAATACTGAAGTCTATTGTGATATATATCAGAATGTTAATCCAAGTACATGAGAGCTTTTAGCAATTGGAAAATCGTAGGTATTAGGACTAACTACATAAAACTATTGCAGCGTTATATTTTTATTAAAAATATGTTATTGTCCAATTTTCGTCTCTCTCTTCGATTGAAATAATTTCCATTGACGATGACACATATCAACTGAAAATTAAAATCCTTCTATTGAGATAAATCAAGGCAGAGACAAAAATTCGAATTCACTCAATTCGAGACACCTGTAAAAATTTACCATTATATCCATGACTTTACACACGATTCCACATATTCCACGTGAGTATTCTCTTTCAAATTTTAATAAAATTTTCATTTAACTTTATTCATCATTGTGACATTGCCAATCAAAATTTTTATAATTAGTTTATTTTACTTTATCACAACAGTTAAATATGCTCTCTTGTTTCTTCTCTTCTGTCTAGATACAATCACTGAACAATAGAAATAAAGTCAATTTCATAGCGAAATTCTATATACATGTTATGATCATCAATGAAACAAGCTAGAATTTCTTGAAATCTCATTATATTTTATTTTGTTTCCTAACAAAAAAAAACTTTGTATAAACAAAAGCTTGACTCACAGGCATAGTAATAAGTAAAATTTCAAGTTTTACATATAACCAGGATAATACACCGTAGGAGTAATCCTATTAAAGGTTTTCCTACAAACAAAATCGACAAAAGATCGTGCATTTTCGTATTTATTCGTCGTCGATGATTTTAACAATGATTCCTAACTCAGTATTGTTTTGATCAATTATATGGCTTGCAATGTTACTACTCTTCTTCGATGTGGTAATCGAACTTATACCAATGAAACGCTATTTTAAATTGATAATGATTCTCGTCAATATCTATTGGTCAAATATAATTCATTTTATCAGAAAGTTCATTTGAGTTATAACTTTAACGATATTGCACAACAAATTTACTTGGATTCTGTGATATTCCAACTATACCTTGAAAAGGATGGAGAGTAAATGAAATTATATATTCAGAAACTGTTGAAAAATTTGATTGCTGTGGAAGTATTTTTTATCATACTGCTGAAGATTTTATTCATAATTGTTAAAAAGATTAGAATATAAATAGTAAAACATAAAATTCCTGCTAAATTCTGCTCGACTTTATCGAAAACACAGTCGATAGTTTCTCTTTGATTCATACTTGCATTCTTTTTGACGTCATGAAATCTGATAAGTGATTGATTGACAACAACATAATGACGTGGCGTTTTCTTTTCTATGACTCATTCTTTGTACGTTTGATGTATGATTTGTTATTCTTTTCTGTTCTATCAACATGCGTAATTAAATGTTGAAATACATCTTGTTCATATAATAACACGACGAGAAATCATATAGTTTTTTGTTTTTTTCTTCAACCTTGACACGATGTATGTGTTTTAAGTGTAAAGTTTATATGTGCGCTATTAAAATGATGCAAGAATTATTCATCATCTTATTCATGTAGGTTGACATAAGTACATTGTTGTTTTTGCTTGAAAGTAAGTGAAAATTGAGTCGTCTAGTATATATACACACCTAATCTTTTTTCATATTAACACGAAAAACAAATACAATGACTGCAACACAAAATGAAATTCAACTATTGATTGAATGTTGCATATGTTGTGATTATTTAACTGATGTTCGTGAAACTCCTTGTTGTCATCAACTATTCTGTCTTTCTTGCATTCAATCATGGCTTCGACAATCTATTCAAAATTGTCCTCGATGTCGTTCAACGACATTAACTGAACAGACATTAACAAAAAATATTGTCATTCAACGTTTTGTTGACAATCTTCAATTTGATTGTCCATATAAATTACAAGGTTGTCCAGCTAAAATACCTCGAAGTGAATTGACTAATCATAAAAGATCATGTTCCTATTCACCGGATACATTAACGCATCAACGACAACAGAAATTATCTCAATTACGACTTAAATTACGACAATATAATAATTCGAAGAAAAATACAAATGACAATGTATTATACGATTTAGCTAAAGCATTTCATAATGAACGTGTATATGATGAAGCACGACAATGTTTAAAAATGATTAAGAATACACAACATACGTTCGGTAGTCTTATTCTTAATGCACAGATTGAACAAGACGATGGTCAATATGATAAAGCATTAGAAATTTATACACGTGCTTATTCGAAAACAAAGTTAATACCTCAACAAATCGAAGTACTTTTGGCTACAGGACATATTTATTTAAAAAAAGCAAAATATACAGAAGCTAAAGATACATTTATTCGAGCACTTGATCTTCTACAAAATAATGATCAATCGGAGAAAAAAGCTGAAATTTTCAATGGTATTGGACTTGTTGCTAAGAAATGTTCTGATGTATGTTCATTATATTTTTATCGACTTTTTTTCTATATTTTATTTTTGAATTCAAGTATGATCAAGCTATTTCAGCCTATAATAAAGCACTTGAAATCGTTGACACAAATTCAAGTTTTTGGTCAGAAATTGCTGCTAATCTAGCAGGTAATAAATATGTTTAATTTCAAAATTATTCATAACAGATTTTTTTTTTGTTGTCTGGATTGAAATTTAGATATTTTTCGGAAAAAAGGTAATTATAATGAATCTCATGAACTCTATTTAAAAGCACTTAAACAACTGGAATCAATGCATGGTCAAAATCATCCATCAATTGCCGAGATTATGAATAATTTGGGTATTCTTTTGAAGAAAGAGGGCAAATATATTGAAGCATTAGATTATCTCAAACAAGCTTTGAAGATATCCAAACATTATTATGGTGATAAACATGCATCTATTGGAATGTATTTGGGAAATATTGGTGATATTTATCGAAAGGTAAATATTGAGAAAGACTTATCAGAATAAATCAAATAGCCGGCGAGCAAGTTTTTCAAAATAAAAAAAAATGAATTTCTAGAAGCTTTCGAATGGTGAAAAACTCACTATCAGTTGGTTTTATGTTTACTTATCTTTTCTGCATCGATCTTGATTCTAGTCGAGCTGATATATTGAGTAGATTTTGAGAAATATTAAGCTTGAGTATTTAGGTATCTTAAGAAAACTCGTTTCTTCGTTTCGTTTAGTTTGTCTATGATTATCAATGCGAAATTTTTGTGCTAACTATCTTTAATATTCATAAATTAACGATGATAGAAGATATAGAATACATGCATTATAAACAAGAGTTCTTAATAAGTGGAAGATGAGTATGTTCATCTATGAGAGAGGTACGGTTATTAATTCCATATGAACGTCAATTCTAACATTCTATATATTCAATTGATTTCAAAACTTTGATGTTAATTTCTTTATAATATCATGAGTTTGTATCCTCATACAGGATGCATACTAAAATAAAACGTATCGTACTTTGCGACACAATTCACGACACATTCTGAAAACATGATTCGAATCTACTACTCCGCGTATTTTTCATTTTTTTTCTGTTTGAGCCAATGAGGACATTTTTTAAATTTAATTAGTGATGTCTATTTTTAAGAATCAAGGCGGCTAGATCTTAAGATCTAGCGATCTTGAATTCGGCTGATCTCGAACAGACCTCTTCAAGGCAGTCCTGTCTCGATCAACAATTGGTCTATTGCAATATTCTCGACCAATATATTAATCGAGAAATGATCTAGATAAAAAAAAGGCATAGAAAAATATATAAGTTCACAATGTTCAACTGAGTTAGCTGTATGTAGCTGTATGTGCAAAGTACAACGATGAATAAATAGGCAGCAGACAGACCACGACACATTTTCGTAGTAGAGTCTGAGACACTTTAACTAGTGACACATCTTATTTTAGTATGTAAGAATGTCACAGTACCAAATTCCTAGAATTCGTCTACTATTGACTTTTAATTCTATGCTTTTGCCTTGGGTCATATACTCGTTTCTTGGATCTGAACAATACATTCGTTTCAGCTATAGTTTTTAAGATAGTCTGTTGATCTTGAGATGCTTCTATGAACAAAAACTCATATCAATATCAATTAATTCAATGTTCTATGACTGCCTCATCAAGCCCAAGAAACCACTGTAAATAGTCACACTTCTGATTAGCTAGAGCATGGAAATGAATCATTTTAGGCTTCTTCTAGTATCACCCAATCCTACTTACGGGCTAAATATGAGCTCGATCAATGCCACACATTTGCATATGTTCTAAGGTTAATCAAAGACCTATTTATTGTAAGGTATATGTTAGTTTAGTTTAACTACAACACAAAGCAATGAACAGTTTTCTTGATTTCACTATTTCAATTGTTGCAACAAAATCGAAGAGCAATAATTGGAGAGAAAACCCACTAGTTTAATCAACCTTATATTAGTCAGCGTGAAAAAGAAATTTCACCTTTGCAGCGATATTTTTTTTTCGTAGCGAGGTGATTACAAAACAGCCGAAGCCACATATAAAGAAGCACTGGTAGCATTGGAAGCATCATTAGGACCTAATCATATTGAAGTAGCCGAAGTACTTAATTCAATGGGTCTCGTATTAAAGAAGAGAGCTGACTACGATGGAGCAAAAGTACTCTATACACGAGCAATTAAAATTATTCACGATACATTTGGTCACGATCAAGAACATTATAAATTGGGTATCTATTACAATAATCTAGCAGATCTCGATCGAAAAAGAAATAATTTCGAAGATGCTCTACGTCTCTATCAACGAGCTTTGACAGCAATCGAAAAAACACTTGGTCCTGAACATTCTGAAGCAGCTGAAATTTTACACAATATTGGACAAGTTCAACATCAACTCGGTTAGTTAAGAGAGAGAAAAAGAGAGAAACAATGCAATATTTGAGACTTGTATATTATTCTATTTTCTTGTTAGGTAACTTTGAACAAGCCATCAATCATATTGATCGAGCACTTGCTATTATCAAAAAGGAATTCAATGATCGACATCATAAATATGGAATTTTTCTTAATTCTCTTGGTCTTGCTTATGCAATGATGGATGATTACACTACAGCTTATGTACATTTGAAACAGGCTCTACAAATTTTATTGACTTCATTAGGTGTTGATCATATTGAAGTTTGTGATGTTTATTCAAATTTAGGCGATATTTGTATGAAAATAGTAGCTGAAATAGATAGTAAACCGAAAGATGAACAACAAAACCAAGAACCAACTGAAAAACAAGTCAAATTGGATGAAGCAAAAAAATATTATTCGGAAGCTCATCGAATTGTTCAAAAAACTTTCGGTGCTGAACATACAAAAGCAAAACAATGTCTTTCCCTTTTATTTATTGTTGATAATTACCAAGCTTTATAATTAAAAGTAAAAGTCATTAAATATCCGATTTAGTTTATTTTAGACTAAAAATCATGAATACTATCAGTTGGATTAGATAACTTTGCTTGTATTGTCATTTCAATGTCTTCAAACAGTCTGACTTTGTTCGTATATGTATCATGATGAAATACATGATATATAGGACGAATGGTTGGTTTTGTGTGGTTAATTGAATGGAAGTGGATTCATATAAAACAGCATTGATGAGGAGTAAATTTTAATCTACTATATTTTCAAATAAACAATGAGCACTAACTCGACCTTTGATCGGATCAACATTGCGAATATTTGAAAAAACTTTGTAAAAAAAGGACTCGATTAAATCGTAGGTTTCTGTCGATGATAAATGTTAATAGAGTTGACATTCAAAAGGAAATTCTTTGATGTCACACTCAAAGTTTATGGATTGAAAATTGCGTTACTATCGAGAATGTATCAGGTAATACGAACGACTTTTATCAATGATGGCAATGGATGTGAGACGTATTATTCGACGATAGACTCAACCGACTTCACTAATGAATTCGATTCAGCTATGACATAGTCAATAACAGTATCAATGTCTTGTACCTTGAACATGTTTATATGGACCTTATTCGCTTCACATGTATTGAACATTTGAGATAATCGTTTTGAAATATCAAATCATTTGTTACATGTCCTAGAAAGTTTGCCATCATTTGCACTGTTGAAAAAAGTATAATGCTCGTTGCCCATTAGTCTCACACACACAATATGTCGATGTTGAGAAATCTTATTGGAAGAATTGTAAACACGAAATGTTGAACGAAGAAAGAAAAATAGGGCGACTACTTTATACTTCAGAAGCAGGATAGAAAAAGAATATAAATTCTACGATGTTATTTTTCTCCGAACTATTTCAAAAATTTGAGCGACTTACATGTTAAGAAATAAAAACATTTTCTTTCAAATATGTTACATAGTTGACTTATTTTTAACATCGATTCATATTAACTCATTACTATTCGCTATGTTAGTTTTGGTTCAACAAACACCATGTTAACTGATATAAGTAAAATAAAAATTTATGTAGTTTAAATCAATCACAATAGCTGTCTTGCCTTTTGGTAATATTCATTTTGCATTTCTGAATTAATCCTTCTTTGTTATGTGTTATATAAAGTCGACTTTTTCAGTCTTTGATCCTCATCAATGGCACTTGTGTTTCTAAATATTTGATTATATCAGGTGTATCTATAGTTAAGAGAGAGTGACTGGAATATTTTTTTAATTCGCGATTGTCCAAAAACTCTAATGAATTCAACGAACTTTTTCTTTTCATGATACAGTAACCATGGCAAATTATCTAAATTGTGGATGATGGAGATGTTTTGATTTGATTTAGATACTTTGAAAGATGACTTACTACCATTGAAAACGATTTTTTTTAGAAATCTATGTTCACATTGTTTTCATCGATTTACAGAATATATGATATTTCTAATTTATTGTGACTTCGAACTATTTAATTAGCTTATCGCCCTCCTAATATTGAAATGGACAATCTATATGATTGTTTTGTATCACAACATCTGTATTCATGTTTGAAATGAGAAATATTTTACATGAGTTTTATAGTATTTGTATCTAAACAATAATATGGATCACACATATAGTCATAAGGAAAGTAACAGTAGTTATTATCACTTTAAAATCTAATTATCATTTTGTTCACACTTAGAAAACAGTACACAGAAGATATTTGTAGGATTGATTCAATATTTTCACCAGATATCGGCATTCTATCATACGACTCCATTAGAGTGAATATTTTCTTTGACGAATCAGATTTGTTTGAATTAAAAATAGGAAATTAACTTGCCTTGAATAACACACGCTATCGATAGCTATAGATGCCTCATGACTGCATTATCAAAGTAGATTTTCATTGAACATGAATTCAATTAACCATGCATACTATTGCACATAGAAAGAATATCTAGACCTTCGCTTCCATGCTCTCGAATAGGCCAAATTCTTCTTTACCGATAAATAAAGTTTCTTTCACTTCCACAGCTCCGTTCAAATATTCTTTGCTACATTTTTTCAGAAAAGTTCTAGTTGCAAAGATTAATCCAGTTCACATAAGAATTATCGATTTCACATTTCCGTTTCAAATAGGATATTTTCGATTTATTCATCGATAGATTATATCGAAGTCACATTCATAAACAATAATTTATCTCGTCATTTCATTATTTCATTGTCGCAGAAAACGTATCGTCATTGTAAAACTCTTTTTTTCGTAATGAATGCTAATTATTAACAATCTTTTGATGGAGAACAATTTTCATCTTTGTTTAGATTGGATCATCGATTAAAAACGAAACATTTTGACTTGTCGAATCTAGCCAGATTCAAGTATTAATATTCTACAGTACCGAAAGATTTGAAAGAACGAATTAAAGAAATTTGATTGAGCATCAGAGAAAATAAAAGATCAAATTATCGATCAGTTCATGTCAATCAAAGCTTCAAATAGATCGATCCTTTCCATATTTTAACGACTCCTGTAATACTGAAACCCTTTTCAGCGTTTATGCATACGATTGTGTTTTGATTTAATTAGTTTGCAAAACTTGTTGTTAGCATTGTTACCGATTTTGATGATAAACGAAAAAGTATAATCATCGAAATCAATTTGTCAGAGACTATCAAAACAATTCTTCGATTGTTTTGATCTTAAAAGCGTTTTCTGTCTTTTGAATAATGTAAATCAGACTTCTTTTCGACAATACAAGATCATTTTTACCTACGAAATATTCAATAAAAAAAAAAAACATCGATTTTTAATCGATTAAAATACAGAAATAATCAAAAATATCGAAATTTCATTGACTATTCTGGTTATTTTTGATTACAACCGATCTAAGATTGAAAAAAATATATTTAATCAATCTCGTATGATTAAAAGCAATTTTTTTATGATTATGAAATCACTTTTAATACAAAGAAATGAAAATAATCGATGAAATTTCGATATTTTTGATCATTTTATTATTATTATCAATTAATGATGTATGATTTTAGTCGAATTAGACTCGAATTTTCCGCATCGGTATCTTTTATATGGATGCCGTCAAAAAACATTATAATATAATTATCAGTATTTACTGACTCAGTATCACTTTACCTGACTATTATTTACTTCGGGTTTCTATTCATTGAGGGTTTTAAAAAATGATTGTTGACAACTAATAAAGTGCATCGCTCCCCAACAATGCATCGAATATTTTTCTGTGCAAATGAAAACAGCCATAAAAGCGTCTCTTATGCAAGGACATTACTTTTGCGCAGAAAAGAAAAGAGAAGGTATGTGGATCAATCAACCTTCTCCTTACAACGTAGAGATAATTTATGCAATAAAAAAGATACGGTTTATCCTTCTCAAAAGAGAGGAAGAAGGTTTATGGTATTCCATAAAACATGATTATGGTGATCGATGTAATTTAACTGACACTTCGCATAAATGATGCCCATAAATATCTTCGATATCTCAATTCAATTATATTGCATTTGTACAGCAAACAAGAAACGATCGACCAAAATAGCACTAAGAAATAAACAAATATCGAGAATATGCAAGAACACATCTCTTTTTAAAAAATAGTGAGAATAGAAAAATGTTTCGTTGATATTAGAAAGAGGAAGATGCATCAAGCTATTGTCGAGCTAGATTATATGAATTATTCATTAGGTTTTCGTCAGAATTTCAGTTCCAATAATATGACATCTTATTCGGGCAATCGAACCAACACAAATGTCTGTCTCAAAATTTCAATTTGAAGTGTTAAGATTGAAAAGAACAATAAAACTGAGGAAGAATGTTTATTTTTTTGATAGCTTAATTTGCACGAAAAAGTGAGAAGGAGCAGAGGACACGATTTTAGATGTTGATTTTCAATGTGATACAGTGGTTTCCATTGATCAAAAGTTCGAATCATATTGATTTATTCGATTATTGAAAAATCTTGATTAGTTCTATCTTTTGCAAATATTTGTTCAAAGAAAGCAATTATCGATTTCAGGATGAGAGAAGAGTTAAATAGGTGACTTAATTGATTATGCTATTCATTAATTGACAATGACATCAGTTGATGTATCGATTACAATGTATTTGAGAGTTGTATGTCTCTTGTGAATTCATATTAAGAAGCTGACATTGT